GAACTCGGACGCGGTGAGTGGGGCCCGGCCCCTTGGGGAGCCCCGGCCCTGTCCAGCCGCCGAATCCCTCGCTCCGCGAGCCCCGACCCTCATTGTCAGGGTCCGGGCCCCGCTCGCCGCTCCCGGCCCCCGCCCGCACCACCAGGCCTCTCGGCCCTCCCCACCTCCCCAGCCCAGCCTGACCCCCGGGGGCGCCCCTCTCCCGGGACCCCTCTGTCCCTCTGCCGGCAGCTTCCGCTCGGGGTCTCTTCTCTCCAGGAAGCCCCCTCCCCAGTCTGCCAGGAGCCCCTCCTTTATCCGGCGTGCCTAAGCCCTTTCCTCTCCCGGCTGGCGGCTTCCCACAGCTCGCACCTCCCGGGTTTGCAGGGCCCCTGACCCCCCAAGGCCCAGCCCTGGCCCGCTCCCAGGAAGGCCTGACCCAGCCGTGCCTCCAGCTTCGTCCTTCCAGGTCTGGGTCTGGCGCCCTGCTGCCCAGAAGCCCGGTCCTCCCATTCTCCCATTGCCAGCCTTTGGCCCCTTCCGGATCCCTTTGGGCAGCCCCTGACAGGAAGCCGGACCCACCTTCCCTGCCACCTTTCCTGGGCCCGGCGCCTTTTTGTGCTGTTTCAAGGTCTCGCCACTCCCAGGCCTGGTCCCCAACTTCCCAGCAGCCCTGTTCCTGGGTTCCCCTGAAACCTGGGGACCCCCAGACCCCGCCCAGACCCTGCCTGGCCTCTTCCTCTCCCAGGAAGCCTTGACCTCCAACTTCCAGGCCCGGATTTCTAGGCCTAGTGTATCCCACTCCAGGCCTCAGCCTCCCTGTGGTGACTTCTCAGCTTCAGGCAAAGCCCCTTCCCCAAACCCCAGCCCCTTAACCCCCTCCAAGGCCTGCCCAGGCCCCTTCTTGATGGCCACTCTCTGTTCCCCTAGACTTCCAGATACCCACCCTTGTCCTACCCCAAGGCTTGCACCTTCCTTTGCCAGGACCTGGCCTCCCTCCCTGGGAAGCCCCTTCCTCAGCCCACAAGGCCTGGCCCCAGGCCCTATTCCAGAAGGCTCCTGCACTTGAAACGGCTGCTTCTGCCCTGGCATTAAGCCCTCATCTCTTGGACTCTGTGCTCTGAGAGCCTTCTCCCCAAATTTCTAGGCCTCTTGACACCCCCCAAGCTCAGCCATGCTCCCTCTGACCGCCCCTTGTGCCAGAAGGCCCTTCCTCAGAACCCCAGGACGCCAGACCCTCCTCTGGTTCCCAGGAGCCCCCTTTTCTGATTTCTAGGAATTTCCCCAAGACCCAGACACCAGGCCCAGGGACCCCCAACCCCCGACTTCCACAGCCCCTATGGTTTTGTTCCTTCCTGCCAATCTCAGCCAAATTTTCTTCCCCCAAGTGCCCGGGTCCTCTTGCCCCTACGCCCCAGCCCAGGACAGACAGAACCACCCCTCCCCGTGCCCTATTTCCTGCTTACTCTCAGTCCTTCCCAAAACCCTCCCACCAACCAGTCCAGATCCCCTTCCCTGCTACTCAGAGCTGCCCTCACCCCAGATACCCCTACCTTCATCTCTCAGGATCCTCCCTGACAGATCTCCAACTTGGAGTCTGATGAGAGGCCCACCCCACGCTCCTTCCCTAATCACTACAGTGCTGGCTTCACATTCAAACTCTGCTGGTACCTTGCTGTGTGTTCTCAGTCCCCTGGCTTTCCCCTTTCTGAGCCCCCCGTTTCCTACTCTGGAAGGTGGGTGCGATCCCTGGACTTCTTGGCGATGGGGGTCTAGCCTGGCACATAGAAAGCGCGCCACAAATGTGAGCTGAGAGATGAGTCAGGTGGCGGCAGGTTCCCGCCCAGGACTCCCTGCTGGGAGCCTCAGTTTATCACTGAGATGGGGTTGATGGTATCTCCCTGCTTGGGATGTTTGAAGGAGCCCAGATTCTTTGAAAGTCTTGTAGCTGTACTCATCATTGTTGTTAGTACTTTAATTATTCAGATTAACTTGGGTTCAGATCTAGTTTCTGCCACTCCCGAGCTGTGTGACTTCAGGCAGGTGACCTCACCTCTCTGAGCCTTGGTTCCTTCTCCTCAAGTGGTTCAGATTTGTGCATAGTGAGGGTTTGAGGACCACTAATCCATTTCTTCTCCCCCCATATCTTGTCAACAACACTTGGTTGTCCTTGTTGGAGGGGGTGTCTTTGGAATCTGACATCCTCTTTGCAGTCTACTCCTCTTCCACCCGGGTACCATGATGACAGCCTTGTGGGGTCATGCTCCTGCACCCCAGGTTCCACGGCTCGTACCACCCAGCTTCTTCCTCTACAGAGGTTCCCTAGCAACAGGCATGGTAGTGTTGGGGCGCCAGCCAGGCAGGAGGGAGTCAGGCCAGCTGGTGGTGCTGGCCAATTTTAGCTCCCACCCCCAGCCCCTGGGGGCTTTGTCAGTCACTGCCCCAGCTGTCACTCGCAGGGGTCCCTCAGCCACACTGCCTGCAGCGGGATGCCACACCACCCCCAGGTGGGTCCCCTGGTGCCAGCTGATAGGGATTCCTCTCCAAGCTCTTATCTCGGTGGAGGCTTTATCAGGGCTAGCATCTCCACTTCCCTTCCCACCCTCCCCTGGGAGGAGGTCTGGGGCTGTGAACCACCCAGGGGAGTGTGGAGAAGAGCCAACAGGCCCAGCTTCCAACATCTGCTGGGCTCCACTTGCCCTGTGACCTTGGGCAAGGTGGCTCACCTGCCCGAACCCTGGGGTCCCCACTGTAGGATGTGGGTAGTACTCGGACCCATCTGGGAAGCCAGGGCAAAGACCCATTGGACGGAGGGCATGGTGTTGGGGCTCGAGTAGTGGTGGCTGCTGCCACCCAGTCGTAGGGGGCATCATGTCTTTCTACCACTTGTGAATGAACCTTCACAAGGTACCTGCTCTGTCCAAGCCTCAGCCTTTCGCTCTGAGGGACTTTAGATGCCTTCCTCCTTGGCCTGCTGTGAGATTTGGATGTGGGTGAGATGTCTCTTGGTACGGGACTTGGTCTGTCGCAAATGCCGCTATATGAGAGTTGAAATTCTAAAGTATTTGGAAGGCTGTGGTCTGCGATGGGAGCCCTAACTCCATGTTTGAGGCTTGATATAAGTTTCAGATGCCATTTGGGATCTTTCTGACCATTAAACCGGCATTGTGGGTACGCACAGACAAATTCCAGGACAGACCCAGGGAGAGACAGTTTGCCTTCCGGAAGAATGCGGCTGAAAGTAGATTATGGTCACACGAGGAACTAGGGAACTTGCCTGAGTGTCCTCTTCTAATTTAAGTTTGGGGTCTTGGTATTGTTTGCTAAGACTCAGGCTGCACGGTCAGGAGTCATAGCCTGTGTGGACCACCACCACCTAGCCTGGTAGTCAAGGCTCGGAATGAATCCTGTAACCCTTTTCTTTCTTAGTAAAGCCCCAATCACAGTCTTTTCCCTGTATCTGTAGTCCCGCCTTCAACAGTGCTATCTACCACCAGTCATGATTCTGTGACCATAAGAATGGTGGTGATGGGGGGCTTCAGGCAGCATAAGGGAGCAGCCAGGAACATCAACCCCAGTGGGCTGTCTGGGTTCGGAGCCCAGCTCTGCCTCTTCCAGCCTGTGTGACCTTGGGCAGGTGACTAAACCTCTCTGGGTCTCAGTGCCTTCACCTGTAAAATGGGGTGATAGTTGCATCTACCCCCCAGGGTTGTTGCAGTGTGTGGTGGAACGCATTCATTAAATGTTGTGGCCTGGCAGGGAGGCCCACCCAGGCACTTGGCCACCCAGCCACTTCTGTCCCTCAGTTCCCTTTGTCCCCCTGGGAAGGGCACAAGGGCAGCATGGGGTCTGGATAGAGCAATGGCAGCCTGGTTGAGGCTTCCAGCTCCCTCGGCTGCCTACACCCTGGGCCCCAGGGCTGGGAGGGAGGCGTGTCGTCCCTGGGGCCCACAATTAGGACAGGGCACGCCAGAGCAGGCAGGTGACCTGCAGGGGAGAGAGGCCCAGGAGGGAGGGACAGTAGGAACAGGGCGTCAGGGACAGATAGGACCGATGGTGTGGGAGACCCTGGGTCCCGGCGCGGCCTGACAGTGCTCAGTGTGGATGGTGGAGGGCAGGGCAGGGAACCAGAGCCTCCTGTGGAGGGTGGAGCTGCAGCAACAGTGTTTCATGTGGGTGGTGAGGGCAGGGCAGGGAAGTAAGTGTGCTTTTCATGGAAGAAAGGTGTTGGCTTAGGACAAAGGTGGGATGCTTAGAACAAAGTGATATTTGGAAAAGACTATTGGTAACAGTGTTTAGAATAAGCTTTAGAATCAAATGTTAGGGGTAGTAACATGGGAAATAAAATGTTAGTGTTTGGGTTAGAATTTGGGGAACAGAATGGGGACAATGATGGATAGAATAGAATGCTGGGAGTGGTGGTGGTTGAGGAGAGCCATGGGCCCATGTGGTGGCCGGGGTGGACGGTGGGGACAGGTGGTGGACAGTAGGGACAGGAAGTGGTGGCTGGGGTGGACGGTGGGGACAGGTGGTGGTGGCCAGGGTGGATGGTGGGGACAGGTGGTGGACAGTGGGGACAGGTGGTGGTCAGGGTGGGTGATGGGGACAGGTGGTGGCCAGGATGGGTGGTGGGGACAAGTGGTGGTCAGGGTGGATGGTGGGGACAGGAGGTGGTGGCCGGGGTGGACAGTGGGGACAGGTGGTGGTTGGCGTGGATGATTGGGATGGAATATCGGGCATGGTGGTGGCTGAGGTGGATGGTGAGGACAGGAGGTGCTGGTCAGGGTGGATGGTGGGGACAGGTGGTGGCTGGGTGGATGGTGGGGACAGGTAGTGGTCAGGGTGAGTGGTGGGGACAGGTGGATGGTTGGGATGGAGTATTGGGCATGGTGGTGGCCGATGTGCACGGTGGGGACAGGAGGTGCTGGTCGGGGTGGATGGTGGGGACAGGTGGTGGCCGGGTGGATGGTGGGGACAGGTAGTGGTCAGGGTGAGTGGTGGGGACAGGTGGATGGTTGGGATGGAGTATTGGGCATGGTGGTGGCCAAGGTGGACAGTGGGGACAGGAGGTGCTGGTCGGGGTGGATGGTGGGGACAGGTGGTGGCTGGGTGGATGGTGGGGACAGGTAGTGGTCAGGGTGCGTAGTGGGGACAGGTTGTGGTCGGGGTAGACGGTGGGAATAGGAGGTGGTAGTTGGGGTGGATGGTGGGGACAGGTGGATGGTTGGGATGGAGTATTGGGCATGGTGGTGGCTGAGGTGGACGGTGGGGATAGGAGGTGGTGGTCGGGCTGGGTGGAGGGGACAGGTGGTGGCTGGGGTGGATGACGGTGGTCAGGGTGGACAGTGGGGACAGGTGGTGGTTGGGATGGAGCACTGAGTCCAGACTGAGGTCAACACTGGGCTTGGGGGCTGCATCATTTTAAACAGAACATCATGGAGATCGGGAAGGTGCCAGTAATCAGAACAGGGTGTTGGGAGTAGACTTGCTGAGTGAGAGTTAAAGAGGGGTTTGCCAGTCTGGGGCCCTGGGTGCTGCAGTGTCAGGGGCCCAGACGTTTTTGTTCTTGAAGACAACTTGTAGAGACAGGGCATTCCCAGGCATCAAGGTCCTCCGTGGCCTGAGTTAGAAAATGACCATGAAGGGGCTGATGTCCAGGGCTAGCGCTGACCGCTCCTGCTGGTGGGTGCTGTCCCCAGCTCACGTTCCATCCTCCCCCCACCCAGCATGGCACCCTGGGCAGTGGTCGATCCTCAGACAAAGGGCCGTCCTGGTCTAGCCGCTCCCTGGGTGCCCGCTGCCGGAACTCCATCGCCTCCTGTCCCGAGGAGCAGCCCCACGTGGGTAACTACCGCCTGCTGCGAACCATCGGAAAGGGCAACTTTGCCAAGGTGAAGCTGGCTCGGCACATCCTCACAGGCCGTGAGGTGAGCGTGGGGCATGGGCAGAGCGGAGGCAGTCCTGGTGGCCCAGAGCTAGGGCTCCGGTCTGGCCCTCAGTTTGCGTCGCGACCTCAGGCACGTCCCGGATCAGATCAGAGCATTCTGGACTTTTTCCAGGGTGGCCCAAGCAGGAGAAGAGATCCCACTGTTCCTTGAAGTTGTCACGAGTGTTCTGCATAGCCGTGTGTAGTATTTGTAAGAATTCATGACCTCACGTGGCTTTTGAGTCTGAACCTGGGACACCTCCCTGGTTTAGTGATGGACTTGGGTTCTGCCAGATCTTCCTATGATGTTGATGAGAGCACACTAATTATTGACCTTGAGTTCCCAGTTATACCCCTACTGGTGTGGACACATGTACTGAGAAGGATGGAGAGATTATTGCAGGAAAGGTCCATGCAGACCTTGTCACTCAGAGGTAACACCTCTAACTTACACTTAAAGAAGACGACGACAGGGGGTGGTTTCGTGGTTCCTCTCTGGCTGCCTTCATCTTTAGAGAAAGTGATTGCAGCAATTTGTCTGCATGGGATGGATTCTCTCCCCTATTCCCACACCATCCTCCATATGAGTCACACAAAAGACACCCGGCCCCGATGGTTTTATGGGCAAATTCCATCAAACTTTCAACTACTATATGCCAATTCTTCCAGATGTTATAGGAAGAGGTTCCACAGCTCAGCTTTTGTGTCCTGGTTTGACCAGGGGAGCAAAACTAGATAAGGAACATAAAGTGATTGGCCAATCTGACTCATAAACTTAGATACAAAAATCTTAAGACTTTAGCGAACAGGCTCTGGCAGAGCGACTGAGGAAAGCTGTGTGGTGACAAAGCTGGGTTTATCCCAAGAATGCAGAGTTCTTTCCCATTTGCCAATTTATTCATGCACATCACCACATTCACAGATTAAAGGAGGGGAGCCATATGATCGTCTCCATACTGGCATGAGAAACGTTTGACAAAATTAAAAAACCCGTTCGTGAGAAGATGCAGAAAGCTAAGAGACCCCTCTCCCCCACAAAGAACACGTTGCTGCCCATATGTGGATTTCGTGCATGATTCCAGGGGTTTCTGAGCAGATCAGCTGTCAAGGAAGCTGGGCCTCCCAGGGGAAGAATTCTTCAATTTGGTGGATATGGGTTTGTTTGTTTTTTCCTTCAGGCAGGGGATGGTCCCAAAACCCTTGCAGAATCTATAGACCTAGGGCTGGATTAAGAAGTTCCTGTGTGATGCAGACAGTTAACATGCTTGGCTGCTGACTGAAAGGTTGGGGCTTCGAGTCCACCCAGGCATCAAAACAAAGGCCTGCTGACCTACTTCTGAGAAGCAAGCCACTGAAAAACTCCGTGGAGCACGGTTCTGGTCTGATGCACATGGGGGCGCCATGAGTCAGAGTCAACTCCTGGCAGCTGGGTGATGTTTAGGATTGGATTAAGATTTTGAGCACGCACACACTGCTGTTGAGTTGGATCTGACTCATAGCGACCCCTCCTTGGGTTTCCGAGGCAGTATCACTACGGAAGTAGATTGCCCAACCTTCCTTCTGAGGAGTAGCTGGTGGGTTTGAAACATCAGCCTTCTGGTTACCAGTCAGATGCCTTAGGCACTATGCCACCAGAGTTCCTAAGATTTTTGAGAGGCTTCTTAAAAGTAATCAAAAATCAAAACCCAGTGCTGCTGAGTTGATTCTGACTCTCGGCGCCCCTAGAGGACAGAGTGGAACTGCCATGGAAGATTTGCAAGGCTGTCAGTGTTGAGGGAAACCAAGCCCAAACCAAACCAACTGCTGTAGAGTAAATTCCAACTCACAGCGCCCCTAGAGGACAGAGTGGAACTGCCCCACAGGGTTTCCATGCTGTCAATGTTTACTGAAGCCTCATCTTTCTCCCACAGAGCAGCTGTGGGTGAGTTTGAACTGCCAGCCTTCCAGTTGGCAACTGAACGCCACCAGGGCTCCTTAGAAGCCTCTTACTACTGAAAAAAATTATGGGACTCCCCCAGTGTAATTAAAACTAAAAACTTGATTAAACTGCAAAATTAGTATAAGGCAAGTTCAGTAACTTTCTAGTTTTTCTCTATGAGGATACCTTAATGCTTTTTCAATACTCCTTTTTAGAAAGTGTTCATTGTGAAGAGGGGTCTGTCTGCTGCATAAGGTCAAGTCCTGGCCTACGGCTCACTAGCCATTGGAACTGTGGCCAAGTGGTGAAGGGTTCTGTGCCTTGATTTCCCCATCTGTACGTTGGGGAGGATCCTGGCACAGGCCTCGTAGGACTGTGACGAGGATTAAATGAGTTCTCATTGTTGAGCCACATAGACTGGAGCCTGGCACATAGTACCCACACCCTCTGCCATTGAGTTAGTTCCCACTCATTTGGGAAAAAAAAAACCAAAACAGAAAACCTACTGCCATGGAGTCGATTCTGACTCTCAGCGCCCCTAGAGGACAGAGTGGAACTGCACCACAGGGTTTCAAGGCTGTCAATCTTTACGGGAGCAAAGCCCAAACCACACCCACTGCAGAGTTGATTCCTAATCACAGCGCCCCTAGAGGACACAGTGGAACTGCCCCACGGTTTCCAGGGCTGTCAATCTTTGCAGAAGCAGCCAGCCTGGTCTTTCTCCCACAGAGCAGCTGGTGGTTTCTAACTGTGCACCTTTTGGTTAGCAGCTGAGTGCTTTAACCACTGTGCCACCAGGGCTCCTTGGCACACAGTGAGTGCTCCATAAATGCTAGTTACGGTTATGGTTATGACTCTACCAGCTGTGCATTTAAAACAGATCTGTGCTGGGTGGAAGGTCTGAGCTGCCCTCCCAGAGGGGGTCGCTGCCGTGACGTGTCCCCACAGGCCCTGGAGCAGCCTCACCTAGGCCCCACCGTGACATGAGGGGCCATTTCCCTGCAGAAATAGGGGCAGCGGTGAGATGGGGGAACAGCGCGTAGGCCCTGCAGCCCAGGTCTCCTTGCCCTCAACCTCACCTCCTCCCCAAGTCCATCCAGTAGGAATAACCCGTATTGAGGGCTCTCTGAGAGAGGGAACCAGGGAAGGGCATCCCGGGGTGGTCTCGGCTGGGGCACCTTTTCTGCACCCAGGGGCCTATCATGTTGGCCCTGCCTTTCTCCACTTCCAGGTCGCCATCAAGATCATTGACAAAACCCAGCTGAACCCCAGCAGCCTGCAGAAGGTGAGGCCGGAGGGGGAGGGGGAGGGGGAGGGGCCCACCATCCCCTCCAGCACTGCTGGTCATGGTCAGGTATACAGACCAGGGCAGGCAGGTGGGAGGGGGCGCAGGTGGGTGACTGAGAGGGTGGGAAGGGGCCCAGGTGTGTGGGTAACAGTACTGTTGTTGTTGTTGTTGTTATGTGCCATCGAGTCAAACCTGACTCATAGCGACCCCTCCTTGGGTTTCCGAGGCAGTATCACTACGGAAGTAGGATTGCCCAACCTTCCTTCTGAGGAGTGGCTGGTGGGTTTGAACCGCCAGCCGTCTGGTTAGCAGGCAAGTGTCTTAGCCACTATGCTACCAGAGCTCCCGGGTAACAGTATAGGGGTCCCCAAAACCACACCCCTTCACCCACCCTTCTTTGTCTTCCTTTCCGGCCATGCCCAGTTGTTCCGAGAAGTCCGCATCATGAAGGGCCTAAACCACCCCAACATCGGTGAGGAGGGGAAGGGAGTGGGTGCAAAGGCAGACCACCAGCTGGGGTGCTTGGAGAAAGGAGAGAGTTGGGGGGGAGGTTGGGTGGTAGTTATAATAGTGGGACCCGATATCTTCTAGTGGCATCTCGGCTTACTGGCTGTGTGACCTTGGGCAGGTCACTTAACCTCTCTGAGCCTCCATCTCTTATCTGGAGATGGGGTGAGGACTGGATAAGGTGATGCAGGGCTGAGCTCTCAGATTCTGCCTGGTAAAGTGGAGGGTCGGCGATAAAAGGAAAACGGATCAATGAGCTGGATCGACATTGTGGCTGCAACAGTGGGCTCAAGCACAAACAGGACCGTGAGGCTGGCACAGGACCAGGCAGTGTTTCGTTCTGTTGTACGTGGGGTCAGTGTGAGTCGGAGGCGACTCAGTGGCACCTAGCAACAGCAAGGTATCAGAGCTGGTTTTATGTTCCTCAGCGTGCGTTATCATCAGGCAGAGCGTGGAGAGAGGGGTCTTTACTGAGAAGAGGCAGATGTAGGCTGGCCTGGATGTGGCTGATGGGAGCCCTGGTGACCTAGTGCTTAAAGCACTTGACTGCTAACTAAAGGGTTGGCAGGTTAGACCCATCAGCAGCTCCATAGGAGTAAGATGAGGCAGTCAGCTTCCATAAAGATGACAGCCTTGGAAACTCTGTGGGGCAGTTCCACTCTGTCCTCTAGGGGCGCTGTGAGTCGGAATCCAGTCAATGGCGGTGGGTTTGGTTTGGGCTTTGCTTCCATAAAGATGACAGCCTTGGAAACCCTGTGGGCAGTTCCACTCTGTCCTCTAGGGGCGCTGTGAGCCAGAATTGACTTCACAGCAATGGGTTTGGTTTGGACTCTGCTTCCGTGAAGATCGACAGCCTTGGAAACCCTCTGGGGCAGTTCCGCTCTGTCCTCTAGGGACACCGAGAGTTGGAATGGAGTCGACATAGTGGAGTTTTTTAGTTTTGGGGTGTGGCTGAAGCATTTCTTCATCCATTCATTCATTTACTCGGTAAATATTCATTGAGTGGCTACTAGGTGCCCTGCCAGGAACCAAACAGCCTCAGCTCCTTGGGAGCTGACATGGTAGTGAGAGAGAAAGCGGCACAGGTGGAGCTGAGGAGTTTGGAAAATCTTGCCACCCGTCGGGAGCCATTGAGGGTTCTTGAGGAGAGGAGGTGCTGTGTGGGCAGAGCGCATAGTCAGCGGGTGGGAGTGGGGGTCTCTCCCCATCTCACCCCTGCCCACGGATTGCAGTGAAGCTCTTCGAGGTGATGGAGACCGAGAAGACGCTGTACCTGGTTATGGAATACGCAAGTGCCGGTGAGGCCCCGCCCCCCGCGCCCCCACCCCGTGCCCCGGTGCCCTGCGCTGACCCGCCCCACCTCTGGCCTGCAGGAGAAGTGTTTGACTACCTCGTGTCGCACGGCCGCATGAAGGAGAAGGAAGCGCGAGCCAAGTTCCGACAGGTCAGGGTCAAGGGCGGGGCTGGGGGGTGGCCTTGGTGCCTGGGAGTCTGAGGGCTGGGGGTGGGTCCGGGCTGCCCAGTGACCTGGGTAGGGGTGAGGGAGCAGGGTCGTGCACATACAGGAGTCCAGGGGTGAGGCTCACCAGGTGGGTGTGGCTGTGGAGGGGTGCAGGTGCGCAGCTGGGTGCTGGGAGGATGCTCAGGCATGAGGGTGCCTGGGTGTGGGGGTGTGGGTGCAGGGGACCCACGTGGAGGTGTGTAGGTAAGTGTGGGTGCTGGGGCACATGGGTGTGTAGGAGCGAGGATTAGAAGACGGGGGAGATAGGGTATGTGGGTACCCAGAGGCACAGGTATGTGGGAAAGAGGGTGTGTGGCAGCCCATTGTATGGGTGGGATGGGGGCCAAGTGTGTGTAGGGTGGTGGGTAAGAGAGCATGAGTGCACAGGTGTGTGAGCTAGAGAGGGTGAGATGCTATGGGTACACAGGCGTGGGGGGGAGGGGCTGTGGGTACACAGGCGTGGGGGGAGGGGCTGTGGGCACACAGGCGTGGGGGGAGGGGCTGTGGGCACACAGGTGTGTGGGGGAGAGGCTGTGGGCACACAGGCGGGGGGAGGGGCTGTGGGCACACAGGCGTGGGGGGAGGGGCTGTGGGCACACAGGTGTGTGGGGGAGAGGCTGTGGGCACACAGGCGGGGGGAGGGGCTGTGGGCACACAGGCGTGTGGGGAGGGGCTGTGGGTACACAGGTGTGTGAGCTAGAGAGGGTGAGGGGCTGTGGGCACACAGGCGTGGGGGTGAGAGGACAGGAGCATGCCCAGATGTGTAGGTAAGATGGCAGGCAGGTAGGCGAGTGCACAGGTAGGTGAACAGAAAGGCATATGGGCATCCAGGTGTGTGAGAGAGTGGGCAGGGACTCAGGTGTGCTCATGTAGGTTGGGGGGTATGACAGTGTGTAGGTGTGGGCAAGAGGGAGTCAGGGTACCCAGGTGTGTGGGATGGGGTCCACATACAGGTCCAGATGTATGTAGGCTGGAAGGTATGAGGGCCTGAAGATGCCCAGGTGTGCAGGTAAGGGGTCAGGCAGATGTGAAGGGGCCCAGATGTACACGTAAGAGGACAGGCAGGTATAAGGGGTGCCCAGGTGTGTGGGATGGGGTCCAGCTATGGGTATGTAGGCTGGTGTGCAGGTAAGAGGACAGGCAGGCGTGTGGGGGCCCAGGTGTATGAATTTACACGCATGGAGAGGTCTGAGTGTGAGAGTGTCCAGTGTGGGTGTGAGGGTGTCCGCCTGGTCCTACCTGCCCTGACGTGTGAACAGCTGAAGCCCGCGTGTTGTGGGGCTGTAGGCTGAGTCTACAGATGTGTGAGGTTCTCACTGGGCATCACGTGTGAAAGCCTGGGAGGGATCCAGTCCCCGTGTGGGTTCTGAGGCCCCTGGCTGTGACGCTGTTCTGATCTCTGGGCGGAAGGCTGGTTGGGCATCCAAGGGGAGGTTCCTGTCTTTGGGGGCATCTCTGCTGTGACTGAGTCAGGACTGGGGCTGAGGTGGGGGTCTTCCAGAGTCTTGGCCTGTGCCTGAGGGAGGGAGGCCTAGACTTCAGGGATCTGGGTCCTTGAGGAAGGCTGAGGGACTTGGGGACCGCAATGACTGTCCTTTTCCTCCCTCGTCCCCAGATTGTCTCGGCTGTGCACTATTGTCACCAGAAAAACATTGTACACAGGGACCTGAAGGTAAGCCTCCCGCCCCACCATGACCTCGGGGACCCAGCTTGGCCCCACGGGTTCCCTCCATCTCCCCTCAACCTCCCCGCCGTTTCCCTCCTGCCTACCCTACACCCTGCAGCACCTCCTCCACCCACCCCGCCACCTTCGCCTCATGCCCTTCCCTTGGCACCCAGAGTCCCCGGACTTTCCCGTGCTTTTGTGGCAAAACCAAGGCCAGCAGATGAGGGTGTGAGTGGGAGGGTGGGAACAGGCGACGTGAGCGGAGACAGACACAGTGTCCTGGAACGGCCCGGCCTGTTACATGGGCGTCAGACAAGGACACTGTATGTGGATAAAGAGCTCCTTGCTCTCAGAACCTTGGGGGCCTTGGCATCTCTGAGGCTTTAGAACATTCCAGAATCTGTGACGCATTTAGCTTTTAGAGCCCCAGGGTCCCACCACCTTCAGAGTCTTAGAGTCACAGGGACCTTGGGCAGCACCTTCACAGGGTGGCTTAGTTTCTAAGAGCTGCTGTAACAGAAATGCCACAATGGGTGGCTTCAATTAACAGGTTTACTTTCTCACAGTTAGGGCACTGGCTCTCAGGGAAGGCTCCCTTTCTTTGTGGGCTCAGGAGGAAAGTCCTTGTTCCTTTTTTACCTTTTGTTCCTTGGAGCTCTGGGGCAGTGGGTAAGGCACTGGGCTGCTAACCAGAAGGTCGGTGGTTCAAACCCACCAGCTGCTCCATGGGAAGAAGATGAGGTGATGTACTTCCGTAGAGATTTATAGCCTTGGAAACCCACTGGGGGTCGCCGTGAGTCAGAATCGACTTGATGGCCAGTGGGGTTTGAGGTTTGTTTTGGTTCCTTAGATTTCTTCCGGTGGTCTCTCTCTGCCCTCATCTCTTCCTGCTTCTTTGGCCTCGTCTGTTCCTTTTATATCTCAGAAGTCTTAAGACACACCCTACACTGATGTGGGCTCATTAACATAACAAAACCCTTTTCCCAAATGGTATTACATCCACAAGTCTGGGGGTGAGGCTTTACAACACATAATTTTAGGGATCACAAAACTAAACCAAACTCACTGCCATGGAGTTGGTTCTGGTCATAGAGACCCCATAGGACAGAGTGGAACTGCCCCACAGGGTTTCCAAGGTTGTCAATCTTTATAGAAGCAAAGCCCAAACCAAACCCACTACCATGGAGGGGATTCTGACTCACAGCGCCCCTAGAGGACAGAGTGGAACTGCACCACAGGGTTTCCAGGGCTGTCAGTCTTTACAGAAGCAAAGCCCGAACCAAACCCACTGCCATGGAGTCGATTCTGACTCACAGCGCCCCTAGAGGACAGAGTGGCACTGCACTACAGGGTTTCCAAGGCTGTGATCTTTATGGAAGCTGATTGCCTCATCTTTCTCACAAGGAGTGGTTGGTGGGTTCAAACTGCCAGCCTTTTGGTTAGCAGCTAAAGGCTTAACCACTGTGCCACCAGGGAACATACATCAATCCACAATAAGAAAAAACACCAGGGCTATTGCTGGCTAGAGCCCAGCCACCTGTTGGGGGATCTCGTGTCTCTGAGTTCCCCTCCACGCCTTCCGCTTGGGGAGAATAGCACCTCTCAGGACTTTGTCTTAGACCAGAGAGGTAAACGTTTGGTTCAAACCAAGTTGAACAGTCATTTCTTGAGCACTGCTGTGTATGACATAGTGCCTAAGGCATTTGGCTGCTAACCAGAATGCTGGCGGTTCAAACCCACCAGCCACCCCTCAGAAGGCAGGTTGGGCAATCTACTTCTGCAGTGAGGGTTTTTTTTTTTTTTTTGGTACTGTGTCTGTCCTAAGCGCTTCAAGGCACTGCCTCTCCGGCTGTAATGAAGAATCAGGCTTGGTTTCTTCTTTTTGTTCTTCAGCCCACTGTGGACAGCTACTTTTGTAACAGATAATAACAATGAATTCGGGGGAGGGGGAGGCACCGTTTAGAAACATGAAGATGCGTTGATGGGGAGGTGGAATTCAGCGACAGATACAGTTGATGGTTTGCAGGACAGGATGAATGTCATTTGCTGTCACTGAGTTGTACGTGGGAAAAATGTTGAATTGGCAAATTTGTCTGACCTGTATCTTTAGAACAATTTTTTAAAAAAGATATTAGAAAAATGAGTCACTAGGAGAATGAAATATTAAAAAGGCACAAAATACAAGCTCCAAATTAAAATGTAAAAAATTATTCAAAAGGCATAAAATGTCATTCCCAGACATTTCTGAATGTGTGCTCTCTTGCTGTACTGCCTCCTGCGCTCTGGGCAGGCTGAGGGTCCGTCCGCACACCCCCCCTTTAAGCTGGCTTGAGTCCTGACTTTGCCCCGTAGGTAGGTGTACAGTAGGTTGTGATTCATCTGGAGGTGGGACGCCCCCTGGTGGAGGGTCTTGGAAGTGGCTAAAGAGCATTTGAGGGATTGGATTGGTGCCCTAGGTGGACCCAACTGAAAGGACCAATCCGTGCAGACTGCAGAGCCTCCAATGTCTGGAGGGAAAATGTAGCCTCTGGGCAAGCAGGGGTGCTGTTAGATTCCGCTTGGAGGAGAATCTCACTGAAGTGAGTGTCTGTGGGTTTTGTCCTCTTGTTGGGGCAGGGACTGGTGGTGATACAGAAGTAAGCCTTAGTAGGGAGACCGTGAGAAGGCCAGACCTGCCTAGGACTGGGGGAGGGCCGTGGGGCAGGGTGGGCCAGACATGGGGGACATTTTGAAGGATAGACTCATGCATCAATTTGAAGTCAGAAGGCCGGAACAGACGAGATGCTAGAAGCTGGTACTCGCTCAGGCTTAGAAACGTCAGGCCTGGCGTGGCTCCCAGCTCTGCCCCCACTCTCCTGTGGTGACCTCAGGTGACCTCGCTCAGCCTCAGTTTCCTCTCCTGTGAAAATGGCAATTGACAAAAACACGTGTCATGTAGATGAGGTTGTTAAATGACAAAGCCTTATAGCAATGTGAGGTGTGTACTGAGCGCTGAGTATGTTACAGGCGTTGTTTTAAGCACTTGGTCCCCACGACCACCTATGAGGTCAGTGCTAGGGTTACCCTCAATTTACACGTAGGGAAATCGAGGCACAGAGAGGTCTGGTAACACGCTCAAAGTCACACAGCAAGTGAATGGTGGAGCTGGGGTTTGAAACAAGGATTCTTTCAGAAACCATACTCTTGACCCCACATTATGCAGCCATTCTTATAAATGATACACCCCGGGGATAAACTAAGGAGTTCTGGTGGTGCAGTAGTTAAGGCACTCAGCTGCTAAGCAAAAGGTCAGTGGTTTGAACCCACCAGCCGCTCCATGGAAGATGAGACAGTTTCCATACAGATTTATAGCCTTGGAAACCCTGTGGTGCAGTTCCATTCTGTCCTCTAGGGGCGCTGTGGATCAGAATTGACTCCAGGGCAGTGGGTTTGGTTTTGGTGGTCAGGTAAACTGAGGCTCGGTGAGGGGCCGGAGATTTTCTGAGGACTCCCATCTCGGCAGAGCACATGGGATCATTACAGCCAATGCAGCACTTTCTGGGAACAGAATATGTTTCTAGGCATTTAATGGGTTAACTTGGTTAATCCTCCTATAATCCTGTGAGGTAGGGGTTTATGATTATCTTTACTCTGTGGATGAGGAGAAGCAGCTGTGGTGTTGAGGTGGATAAACTCCTGGGGTGCTAAACTAAGAGGTCGGCAGTTTGAACCCAGCAGCCGCTCTGTGGGAGAAGGATGTGGCAGTCTTCTTCCATTAAGATTTATGGCCTTGGAAAACCGTATGGGACAGTTCTGCCTTGTCCTGTGGGGTCGCTATGAGTCGGACTCGACTTGATGGCAGCAGGTTGATGGTTGAGGAGTCGTCCATCCCTGGGCGGTGTGAACCAGTCGTGCCCTCAGCTGCTAACTGGAAGGTTGGAGGTTGGGGTGCATACACCCAGAGGCCTTGTGAGAAAGGCGTAGCCCTCAGTTTCTGGGAAATTGGCCACTGACAACCCCACAGAGCACAGATCTACTGGGACACACACAGGGTCACCCTGAGTCAGAACTGACTGCACGGCAGCTGATATGGACGAGGAAACTAAGGGCCAGAGAAGGGAAGTCCAGCCCGAGGTCACACAGCGTAGGACCCAGCTGGCCCGGCTCCGTGCACAACCACACGGGGCGGGGGCCACGACCCACCGTGTGCCCTCTCCTCCGCCCTCCCAGGCCGAGAACCTCCTGCTGGACGCCGAGGCCAACATCAAGATCGCTGACTTCGGCTTCAGCAACGAGTTCACGCTGGGCTCCAAGCTGGACACGTTCTGCGGGAGCCCGCCGTACGCCGCCCCTGAGCTGTTCCAGGGCAAGAAGTATGACGGGCCGGAGGTGGACGTCTGGAGCCTCGGCGTCATCCTATACACCCTCGTCAGCGGCTCCCTGCCCTTCGACGGGCACAACCTCAAGGTGCCGGGCGGGGCTGCCCACGGGGGTCTGGTTCTCTGGGGGAAGGTCTCTCCGGCCCCCGCAGCCGGGCCCTACCCTCCCACATCTCCCTGAAGGGGGCCACAGGGGCAGGCTGACCTGAGGTCACAAGGCAAGACGGGTCAGGACCCCAGTCCCCACTGCCAGGGGGGCCAGACCAAGTGGACCCGTGTGCCATGGTGGAGGGTGTGGGCTTTGCAGCTGGCAGGCTTGGTTCCATCCTGGCTCTCTCACCCAGTCACTATGTACTGGCCACTGACTGTCAGGGTCCGACTTAGGTTTTGCAGATCGTCAGTGAGTGAGATAGACAGACAGAATCCTTGCCTTCATACGTGTAGCACCAGAGCGAAGGACGAAAACATGACGCTGGGTGAAAACGGCCCTACATGGTGCAGATGGGTAATGCTCTCGGCTGCTAATGAAAGGAATGAAAGGTCTGCAGTTCCGAGTCTGCCCCGGGACGCCTCGGTAGAAAGGCCTGGCAAGCTCCCTCTGAAAAGTGAGCCATTGGAAACCCAATGGAGCACAGTTCTCTGCACAGCGGGGTCTCCAGGAGTCGCACGGACTCTATGGCGTAAATGATAACAAGCTGTTGCAAATATGCCCCAGTTTTGGCTGTCTCCTGGTGACGCAATGCAGGGGGCGTGGTGGGCGGAACTAACACGCTGCAGTGGGGGGGCATAGTGGGTGGGACTTACATTATGCAGAGCAGGGGGCGTGGTGGGCGGGGCTTCCGCATGCAGGCATGTTCTGCCTGCTCCCTGCTGCCCCTGGGGAGCGCGTGGTGGTTTGAAGTCAGGTGTCAGGGTAGTGCTGGGTGAGGGGAGGGTACCAGAACGGAGACTGGGTGGGGAGGAGAGAGGAGCCCCCTCCTCACGGTGGCCTCAGCCCCTCGGAGCCTCAGTCTCCTGCTCTGTTCAGTGACCTCAACCCCGTAGGAGAGATTCAAGGACTTGCAGAACTCAAGGATGGCAGGTGCCCACTTAGCAGAGCACCTGGACCTCAGAAAGTGCCTGGAAGCCGGGATGCCCCTTTCACAGACTAATTTATCTGCACCCAAAGGTGAAGGGGGAGACCTTTGCAAGGACCAGGCTAGCATCCCCCTGTCCCAGGCCCTTGTCACCTCCTGCCACCCAGGTTTCACCACCCAGCCCCCCAGCCTTTGCCGGGGTCAAGGAGGCATGCAGCCTGGGGCAGACCGTGGCTCAGTCATGTCCTCCTTCACGATGTGACACAGGCCCTTTTCAGTTTTCCCACCTGTTCGATGCGGACAGTAAGAGTGTCCATTTGCAGCCAAGAGCTGGGCAGGTAAAGCCCTTGACTGGGACCTGGCATATGGCCGGTGTTTCGCACTCTGGGGGTAGTGGCAGTGGCCTGATTGCCACTTCACCATCCCGTGAACACACACAGCGACACAAATGCACAGCCTGGGCTTTGGAGCCCTGCTCTCTGGGTTTGAGCCTAGGCTCTGCTGCTCTGGCTGTGCATCCTGGGCCAAGTGACTTAAACTCTCTGGGCCTAGGTGTCCCCATCTGGAAAATAGGTATAATAACCCTGCTTCTTAGCATTGGAAAAATGGGCATAAGATACATCAAATACTTAGCACGAGTGGAGCCAGACTCTGCCAAGTGATCCTTAGTATCAAATATTCCTACATCCTCAGGCTGCAGACCCTGCACTCTCCCAGGCCCATTCTTCCAGCCCTTTGGGGAGAATGCTCAGGATGGGTGCTCCTAGCTCAGTCCCCAGCAAAGGGCTCCTCCCCAAGAGACCCTTGGATACCAGCCTGCCCGCCCCCACGGTCCATTTTCTGTTGCCCTCAGTTCTATGGGCAGGATGGTAGGGTACCTCCTCGCCCCCCGGTCTACCATGCCAGGGTACATGGAGTTTATTTCATTTTTCATAGCTCTGATAGGGCCCCTGGTGAGAGGGCCTTTAAAAAATACCTAAGTGCATGTGACTCAGTGCTGGGCCTTTGAGAATTCCAGAGATTGACCAGCCTTTGCACAGGGTGGGGAGGGGCAGAGGGGAGGAAGGGGGGAGAGCGGATGGCGGTGGGCAGCATCTCCTCCCCCACCATGTCTGTTGTTGTTGTTACATGCTGTCGAGTCGGACCCGACTCATAGCGACCCCTCCTTGGGTTTCCGAGGCAGTATCACTACGGAAGTAGATTGCCCCATCTTCCTTCCGAGGAGTGGCTGGTGGGTTTGAACCGCCAGGCTTCTGGTTAGCAGTCAAGTGCCTAAGCCGCTATGCTACCAGAGCTCCACGTCTAGCTAACATTTATCACGTGCTGACGTTTATGTGGGAGACCCGGGTCGATTGCGGCCGCGTGCCTCGTGCACAGCCCCCAGCCGTCCGTCACGGGAGGCTCGCTGCTGCTGTGGTGAATGGGGGTCAGCGGAGCTCCCCGACAGACCAGGAGAAAGGCCTGGGGGCCCCAATGGCCCGAGGCCGCTGTGCGTGGGGGCGCCGGCAGCTCACAGCAGCGACCTGTGGGGACTCCCTTGTACCCCAGTTGCAGCCCCACGGGGTGGGTGCCGTGGCCCCTGCTGACAGACACATGCTCAGTCGCCCGCCTACGCTTCTGTGGGGCTTACGGAATTCACTTTCTCCGTAAGATTTCACGTGAGTGAAAAGTTATGTAGCTTAAAAACTTGTCTCTGAGAACTCCTGCATCTAGTACAGTGTTCCCATTTTACAGACGGGAAACCGAGGTCAAAAGGGGGGAGTGTGCCCACTTGGTCAGGGCTGTCGATTCTTTCAGGAGTCGAGCAGAGATGAATGTGTGCCTGGGGTGTGTACATGTGGGGTGCATGTGTGTGTGGGGGCTGGAGTGTGTGTGTGTAGGGGGTATATGTGTGGGGTGTGTATGTGGTGTGTGTGTAAATTTATGTGGAGGGTGTTGTGTGTAATGTATGTGGTATGAGAAGTGTGTGTGGTGTGTGATGTTCATGATGGTATGTGAGGTGTGTATATGTGGTACATGTATGATGTGTGTATGTGAGGTGTGTAGTATATGGAGAGCTGGTATGTGATGTGTGCGTGAGGTGTGAGTATAGGGTATGTGGGGAGTGTATTTCTGTGGTGTGTATGTATGATGTGTAGGGTGTGTGTTCGATAGGGTGTGTGTATGTGATGTGTGTATGTGTGATGTATGGGGGTGTATATTTCTGGTGTGTATGTGTGTGATGTGTGGGTGTGTGTAACTGGTGGGGAGTTAGGCGGGAGGCTGCAGGGGCGGCCGGACCCCCCGCACAGTGACGCCCCGCCCGCAGGAGCTGCGGGAGCGAGTCCTCAGAGGGAAGTACCGGGTCCCTTTCTACATGTCCACCGACTGTGAGAGCATCCTGCGGAGATTTTTGGTGCTGAACCCAGCGAAACGCTGTACTCTCGAGGTGAACCCCAGCCCCATGCCCCTGACTCCCCAAAGCCTGCTCCCCACGAGCCTTCTCACCCTCCCCTCCCCTCCGCACCCACCTGTCAGATCCCCTGCCGGAGGGTGGGGGAGGCGAGGCTCCAGGCCTGCCCAGATGCTACCCTCAGCAGCCGCCCCCATGCCCCACATACCAGTAATTAACTAATGAGCTCCTAGGAAGATTACAGGGTGCTGGGGCCGGAGGACGGGGGTGGCACCAGGAGGGCCTGGCCCTCAAGCAGCTCTCGATTTGGGGGCGTCAGGCCTCGGGGGGGGGTAGGAGGGAGCCTGCCTGGGAAGGGGTCCCTATGTTTTCCCCAGTATCTTCTGACACCTGTCTTTCCCCTTCTCTGCCCCCGGTCCTCGCAGCAAATCATGAAAGACAAATGGATCAACATCGGATATGAGGGTGAAGAGCTGAAGCCATACACAGAGCCTGAGGAAGACTTCGGGGACACCAAGAGGATCGGTGAGGGACAGGGAGGGTGAGGCCCCGCGTCCTCAGGGTCAGGGACAGGGACGATGGAGCCGTGGGGCAGGGTCTCCCAGCCCCACCCCTTTAGGGAGCATCGCAGGAGCTTATAGGCATTTAGGGCGGGAGGGGAAGAGCCGGACTCAGATCCTAGTGCCGCCTCTCTCTAGCTGTGTGACCCTGGGTAAGTGGCTTTCCCTCTCTGTGCTTTTGTTTCCTCATCTGTAGGAGCCTTGGTGGTGCAACAGTACAGCACTCAGCTTCTAACCCACAGGTTGGCAAACCTACCCAGTGGCTCTGTAGGAAAAAGACCTGGCGGTCTGCTCCTGTAAACATTACAGCCTAGGAAACCCGACAGGGACAGTTCTACTGTCACATGGGGTCACTGAGAATTGACTCAGTGGCACCCAGTAACAACAACAAAATGGTCGTGGAGTCCTCGTCAGTACAAATGGTTAACGTGCTCAGCTAGCTACTGGTGGACAGTGAAAGTTTGAGGCCACCCAAAGGTGTCTAGAGGGAAAGGCAGGGTGATGTATGAACAGTCAGCCATCGAAAACCCTGGGGTACGTGGTTTTACTCTGCACACACAGGGTCGCCATGAGTCAGAACTGACTGGACGGCCAACTGGTTTGAACACAGTCATAATCATAGAACCTACCTCGGAAAGTCGAGAGTTAAAAACAGCCACCCCTTGCTGTTGAGTGGGTTTTGGCTCACAGCGCCCCTAGCAGACAGTACAACTTCACCA